ACAACAACAACAATTGTTAGTACTTCCTGAAGTTGGATGTAGGAAACAAAGACAGGTGTTAATTTCAAAAGCAACCATGTCTTTAGTTTCTCAAGAAGAGGGAGGAAGGTTCTGGGAGAAGAATCAAAGTCCCTCTCAGATCTTATCCTGAGAGCAGGACTTCATCAGTTGAAGGGGAGAGAAGAGCCTGCAGGAACAGGTCAGACCTTGATGAGGCTCACCTCCCACTGAGGAGAAAGCAGAAGCCAACTGTGCCCTCTCTGTGCCTCTGCCTGCTGCCACCAAGGACTCTGCATCTTTGGTCATTTAAGATGGCCCTGAAAGACTCCATGTGATGGGAGTAAGCACTGAATTGTGTTATTGTCATTGATTGAATTGTGTTCCCCAAAAAATATATGTCAACGTGGTTAGCCCATGATTCTCAGTGGTTTGGCAGTTACGTAATGATGTAATATGTGGTTGTTATGTAATGACATGATGATGTCATGTGACAGTTACATAATGATGTCATGTGGCAGTTACATAATGATGTAATATGTGGCCATTATGTAATGATGTCATGTGGCAGTTATGTAATGATGTCACGTGATCATACCTCATGATGGGCTCATCAGGTCACAGCCCTGATCCCACCATGTAAGGGAGGTGTCCTGGGGTGCAGGCTGCATCCCATTTATCTACAAAAGATCAAAGGAGAGAAACACGAGCAGAGAGAGGAACCTCACTATCACCAAGAAGGATGCGGATCCTTGTGCGGGGAACCTCCTAGACCCGGCGGAAGGTTGATGCCAAGACACATGGAGACCTCCAGTGGACGACAAGCCCACAGATGCTGAAAGGAGACAAGGAGCTTTCCCCAGAGCTGGCACAGAGAGAAAGCCTTTCCCTAGAATTGACACCTAGATTTCTGTTATTTAAAGCTATCCACGGTGGTGTTTGTGTCACAGCCGCGCTAGAGGGCTAAGAAGTTGTGGTAGAAGATACTCCATATATAGCTGGGGAACAGGATAGCACACTAGTTCCCAGTCCTGGATGCCCCGTGTATCTCCTGGGATGCAATGTGCACACAGTATGAGCCTGGGGTTCAGGAGTGGGGAGTGGGCAGTGTGCACACTGAATTCATCTTGTGGAGTGGAGGCGGCAGGGAGAGGACAGCGTACACACAGCAGTATCCTTGTGGGGTGGGCAGAGAGAGGACAGCATGCACACAGAATTATCCTTGGGGGGCAGGTGGAGAGAGGACAGTGTGCACACAGACATACCCTTGCGGGGGGTGAAGAGAGGATAGCGTGCACACAGAATTATCCTTGAGGGTTGTGGAGAAAGGACAATGTGCACACAGAAGTATCCTTGGGGTGGTGGGGTGGAGAGAGGACAGCATGCACACAAAATTATCCTGGAGGTGGGTATGGGAAGAGGACAGGTGCACACAGAAACCCACTGAACTCACTCTCTGTCTCTCCCAGCTGTGCTCTTCCCTGCTGCCCACCGGCCAAAGAGGTCATTATCCATCCCGCTGAACCCAGTCCTGCAGAGCTCCCTGGAGGAAGTGGAACTGCTCTATGAGGTAGGCAAAAAAACCCAACAGAACAAAACCTGGTGCCATCGAGTTAGATTCTGACTCACAGTGAGGGAGACTCTGTAGGACAGAGGAGAACCAACCCACAGGGTTTCTAAGACAGTCACCTTCACAGAAGCAGAGTGACACATCTTTCTTCCTTGGAGCAACTGGTGGATTTGAACCACTGACCTTCCAGTTAGCAGCTGAGTGCCAAGGACTTGGCAGTGTTTCATTCTCTTGTGTATAGGGTCGCTATGATTCATTACGGCCTCAATGGCACAGTTCCGACTCACAGCGACCCTGTACAGGGTTTCTGAGGCTATAAATCTTTACGGGAGCAGAAAGCCTCATCTTTCTCCCACAGAACAGCTGGTAGTTTTGAACTGCTGACTGTGAGGTTAGCAGCCTGATTCATAACCACTACACTACCAGAGCTCCTTAACAACACCAAGACCATCAAAATAAACAGCAAAAATATGTTGCCATTGAGTCGACTGTGACTGATAAGAATCCTATAGGATGGTGTAGAAGTACCCATAGGATTTCTGTAGCTATCATCGTTATGGAAGCAGACTAGCACATCTTTCTCCTGTAGAGCCTCTGTTGGGTTCCTACCAGCAACCTCTCGGTTAGTAGTGAAGCACTTAACCACTGTGTCACCAGGGGTCCTGGAGGTGGTGGGGGTGGTGCAGCAAAAGACACTGCACCAGCTCTATCATTTTCGGAGCCCCTGAAAAAAAGTGGCCTCTGCTATTCTAGGGCCTAGACTCATTTGTGGAGATTGAATAATCCTGCCCAGGTCAAAGCACGCCTCCTCTCCCACATGCTGTAACAGGACACAGTGAGACTGAGAACGCAGCCTGGGCAAAATTAGAAGTCTAACTTTGGACCATAGGATCCACTATTGGCACCCAGGCACCGTGTGTGGCAGTCATCCCAACCAGGGTGCCCATCAAGCAAAACCATGCCAAGCTCACTGTGTGAGCAGCACCGTGTGATGACAAGGCCATTTCTGGTGTCCATGCATTGTTTCTGAAAGCTTGGACCCCTCGAAAGCTCTCCTCTCTTCTCATACCTATCCTCTTCCCCCCTCCTCAGGATGTCCTGAGGCCACGTGGTGCTGTGGTCAGTACCGTTGAACTGTAGTCTGGGCTTCTCCACCCACAGTTATGTGTCCTCACACAAGTCACCAATTTACTCTAGGACTGAGTCCCCTCCACTGCTAGGTAGACAAGGAGCTCCAAAATTCCCCTGTAGCCTGGGTATGCTCTGACCCCGTGCACTGGAACTGACCAGGTAAGAAAGAGAGCACCCGCTGTGGCCTGGGGGAGCACTCTGAAACCTCACAGCCAAGTCTTAAAAGTGGCCACTGTATGAGCAAATCTGTGAGAAAGACAACAGACAGACATGGAGAACAGATTAGAGCACAGGAGAGATGGAAGCAGAGAATTCTTGTTAGAATTCTGAGTCGTTTCATGGGAAAGGTGGTTCCTGGTTCCCACAATGGGCCTGGTGCCATACACAGCCTGACAGAGTATATGACAGATCTGCCCCTGCTTGTGGAGGGCAGGTGAGAGGAAGGCCATACCTCTGTATCCCAATTCATTCCTAGCACAATTCTCTGTAGCCTTTGACTCTATTTCTGCTTAATAATTATCCAAACTGATCAGCATATGCTTTAGAAGATCTTTGGTAGGTGGGAGGGGAAAAGGAGAATGAGGTTAATCTTGGCCATTAGAAGTAATCATTGTTTACTTAAATGGCAGCCTTGTATCATTGCATTTGATGTTGTCCACATTTATCTTGTTATTATTGTTATTGCTAAGTGCCACCGAGGAGTCCTGGTGTGGCGCTGTGGGATACAGCACTGGACCACAAGGTCGGTTTGAACCACAAGGTTAGCAGTTCAAACTCACCATTTGCTCCTTGGAAGCCTTGTACAGGGTCGCTCTAAGTCAGAACCAATTTGACGGCACTTAACAAAAACAAGTCAGTTCCAACTGAGAGCAACCCAGTATAGGATTTCTGAGGAGACGTTGGTGGGTTTGACCCACCAACCTTGTGGTTAGCAGTCCAGTGCTTATCTTACAGTGCCACAGAAGGGTGGCAAAAACCAGTTGCCACCAAACTGACTCTGACATGTGGCGATCCCAAGTGTACTGGGTGGAACTACTCCATTAGGTCTTCAAGACTGAGACCATTCAGAAGCAGATCATCCCTGTGGATGGGTTCAAGCCAGCAATCTTTCAGTTAGTAGATGAATACGTAACCATCTGCACTACCCAGGACTTATAGCATGATGCTACTACCCATTTTACAGAGGAGGAAAGTGAGGCTCTGAGAAGTTAACCAGTGCAGATTACCCAATAAATAACGTAAAAATGGACCTATCTGTACTTACTTACTCTTCTGTGAAATGGTCCACTAAAGATTAATCAAAGATACGGTGAAACCCATGTGGAAGTGTTCACTGCAGATTGTAAGTAAATACAAGGAAGCTGTGTCCCTCTGGGACTCTTTCTGTGTTTAAAAACAAACAAAAAACCCCTGCCATGGAGCCAATCCCCACTCATAGGGACCCCATAGAGGGTTTCTGAGACTATAAATCTTTACAGGACCAGGCAGCTTCAACTTTCTCTTGAGGAGTGGCTGGTGGATTTGAACAATTGACCTTGGGTTTAGTAGCCCAACACCTAACCCAGAGAAAAGACTTTGATTCTGTAGGAAGATGCTGTGGGGTTGAGAAAGAGGCAGATATCTGCCATACCTAGAAGTAGGTCTTTGATGTGGTGAGAAATTAAGAAATTGTACACTAGAGATTAGTAAGTAAACGCATGCTTACCTTGCCTATTGGATAATCAGACACTGAGTAGCCCATCCAAGGCTGCACAGTAATGGGAACAGTCAGCTGGAACCCAGGTCTCCCAGGTACCCTAAATGAATGAGTGTACAAATGAGTGAAACCTTGTCCTCAACCATCTTTCCACACCCCATGTTTCTCATCAGTTCCTCCTTGCTGAACTCGAGATCAGCTCTGACCTGAAGATCTCCATCAAGGATGAGGAGCTCCTCTCTTTGCGGAAGGCTGCTGACTTCCGCACCGTCTGCAATGATGTGATCCCCAAGCGCATCCCAGACATCCGCCGGCTGAGCGCCAGCCTCTCCAGCCACCCAGGCGTCCTCAAGAAGGAAGACTTTGAAAGAACGGTGCTGACCCTAGCCTATGTGGCCTACCGCACAGCCATGTCTCAGGGACATCAGAAGGACATCTGGGCCCAGGCCCTGCTTAGCCTCTTCCAGGCCTTGAGGCATGACCTGTTGAGGTCCTCCAGCTCCAGTAGGCCACTCTGAGAAACTGGTCCCCACAGGGCCATAGAGCAGGGACCAACACACAGAGTAATCCCAAAACTCTTTATCGTCTACAGACCAGCAACAACGTGTATGCCAAAGTGTATGTATAGACTTCCCCCATTGTGCCTCATGAATGTCCTGTTGTCCACCATGACAGTCAGGTGACATTTGGGTCAGGTCTACTCAGAGACAGAGTAACTCAGGGGTGGGAACATGCCTGTGACTTATGCAATCATTTCTACCGTTTCTAAACTGCTGGGAAATGTTGGGATCACAATATTCTGGACATTTCCTCTATCGATGGCATCCACATGGTCATCTCAGAGGTGACTCAAGACACATTGACAAGAGTCTGTGTAGAGAAGTTTCCATGGCTCTGGAACGAACTGAATGGAATTCCATCTGTGTGGTAATTCAGTCAGGAGATATTTCCACAGATAAGATGCAAGTTACGGGCACCCTTATTTTTGTAACCCATCTTAATGTCTTGCATCTCTCAGTTATGATCCTGGACAAGGTTGTGTTCATCTGGAAAAAATGGAAGGAATACTGAGGGAGAACTTCTTGTCTTACTGTGTGGCTCACCTTGTTGTCGTTAGGTACTGCTGAGTGGGTTCTGACTCCTAGTGAGCCCACGCACAGCAGAACCAAACACTGCCCTGTCCTGCGCCCTCCTCACCATCCTTGCTATGTCCAAGCTTATTGTTGCAGCCACTGTGTCCGTCCATCTCCTTGAGGGTCTTCCTCTTTTTCGCTGACCCTCTTACTTTACCAAGCATTTGCCTGTCTCCAGGGACTTGTTGTTGTTAAATGTTGTCCAGTTGTGCCAACTCATAGCGACCTTGTATAACAGGGGTGGAGAATCTTTTTTCTACCAAAATTTATAACATCATTCATGGAAAATTTATAACATCATTCATGGGCCGTACAAAATTATCCACTTAAAAATTAACCTGCTATATTTGGCCAAACATTGAATTAACTCACCCCTAATGTGATGGCTATAGGAGCTCTGGTAGCATAGTGGTTACGAATCGGGCTGCGAACCTTAAGGTCAGTGGTTCGAAACTACCAGCCACTCCACGGGAGAAAGATGAGGCTTTCTACTCCCGTAAGGATTTACACCCTCGGAAACCCTGTACAGGGTCACTATGGGTCGGAACCGACTCGACGGCACTTAACAACAACAATGTGATGGCTGGAAGTGCAGTTGCCTTGACTGGGCCAGACCAAATGATTTCACTGACCAAGAACCAGACTTTCCAAAGAGCAGCTAGTGGGTTTGAACTGCCAACCTCATGGTTAGCAGTCCAGTGCTTATCCTACTACAACACCATACCAGGATTCCAGAGAATGCTTCCTCTTAATGACATGGCCAAAGTGCCATCCTGCCTTCTAAGGAACATTCTGACTGTACTTTTTCCAAGACAGATTTGTTTGTTCTTCTGACCTGTTGTTGTTAAGTGTCGTTGAGTCAGTTCTGACTCATAACGACCCTGTATAGGTTTTCTAAGGAGCGACTGGTGACTTTGAACTGCTGACCTTGTGGTCCAGTGCTTTTGTTGTTCTGGCAGTCCATGATCTATTCAATATTCTTTGCCAACACCTTAATTTAAATGCATCCGTTCTTGTTCAATTTCCAGTATTCACTGTCCAGCTTTAGCCTGCAATTGAAAATACCACGGGTTGGGTCAGGCACACTTTAGCTCTCTAAGTGATATCTTTGCTTTTTAACACTTTGAAGAGATCTTTAGAGGCAGATTTGCCCAATTCATACCATAGTTTGAGTTCTTGAATCACCTGACCTAATTTCTATTTAACAGATCTTCATACAATAAAAATGTCATGACGGATTTTTCTGAGATCACTGGAGTTTTTATTATCTCAGATGATTTCACTCAGCGGAATCTGGCGTTGTTCTGGGGTTGAACAGCAGTTGCTGACTGCACAGCTGTCTTGGAACCCCAGCATGCAGCCGCTATACCCCCAGCTGTTCGTTATTATCCAGTTCCTTTAATGTTTGCAACCAAAACATCACACATGTAGTACTTGCTCACTCAGAGTTTCAAAATCATTTCAGAAACAAGGCCAGAATGTAGTAAATACAGTAGCCAGTCCTTAATATGAGTTTATAGAAGTGAGTCACTCCAGCCCAACCTACAATGACAAGAGAATTTCAGAGGGTCCAGGGCTGGCCAGGACTGCTCTGCCTTTAAAGTCAAGAAGAACTGGTTTTCTGGTGTCATTCCCTGACTGATTCACCTTTAGCCTGGGGATCATTTCCAACTGATAGATTTGTGAAGTCTTGGAACGCCATTCCTTGTGTTCTCTGAATTTCAAGAGAAGTGGGTTTCATAACCCTTGACTCAGGACAGTTTCTCCCAGATCAAGGCAATACTGCGCAGGACTACCAGTTCTAGAAGATTCGGGGTGTGTTTTTTGCTTCCTCTGCCCAGATCCACATGCCCTTTCTGAGAAAAGAGACTAGTAACTTCTCCCATTCTATAAAACCACTGATCGGTGGATTCTGACTCACAGTGACCAGACGGACAGAATACAGCTGTTCCTTAGGGCACACAGCCTCATCTTTCTCCCTCGAAGGAGCTGATGAGTTTGAACCACCAACCTTGAGGTTAGCAGTCCAGTGTTTGACCCACAATGACTCCTGGACTCCTCCTGTTCTGTAGACAGAAGAAATCCCAGAGTCGAGGTGCTGCTGGTAAGACCCTGTCCCTAAATGTGCCAGCGTCTTCCCTGCCCTCCCAGCCCCTCATGTGTTCCAACCTCTCCTCCTTTCTCTGTGGATGACGTTGGTTTCTTTTTGGGGAAAGAGCCTCAGAGAGGAGTGTTGGAGCACCCCTCTAGCCGCTGTCATCTGGGCTCAGAAAACCTGCTGATTCTAACTCAAGACAACCCCTTGTGTGTCAGAATACAGTTGCTCTATGGGATTTTCTTAGACTTTTTAAATAATATTCTATTGTGTTCTTGGATGACAGTGTGCGTGGTGAATTAGGTTCCCACTTAACAATTTCTTTACAGAATGTTCTGTGACATTAATTACAAGCTTCACAATGTGTCCACAGGCTCTTTCATTGTGATCTGAGTTACATCTCCAGTATTCTAGTTTCCCTGCCCCCTTAACTTCTCAGCTTTTCCATAGGGTTGGCAATAGCTGATATTTCTAAAGTAAATCACCAAGCTTTTCTTCCAAGGCATCTCAGGGTAGGCTTAAACCACTAACCTTCCAGTTAATAGTCAACCATTTAACTGTTTCCACCAGCAAAAACAGAATGGAAAAAAAAAAAAAAAAACCCAGTTGTCAAGTCAAGTCTAACTCATGGAGACCCCATGTGCGTCAAAATAAAACCGCACTCTGTAGGGTTTTCAAGGGCTGTGACCTTTTGGAAGTAGATCGCCAGGCCTTTCTTCTGAGGTACCTGGGCAGCCAAGCCCAGGACTCCTCTGGGTTCAGAGGGTCTCCAAATGAGACTGGCTCCTGAAAGTTTCCAGAGAGGCAGCTACCCTTCTGTGTTCTCTAGGAAGGGGCCTCTCTCTGTAGGAAGACCTGGTTTGTGTAGAGTATTTTCACCCAGAGGCTGAAGGAAACCATGTCTGCCAGCAGGTTTACAACTGGACGCTGGGGGCAAATATCTACAGAATGAAGATTCCATTTTCTTCCTGCCACCAGATATATCTCCCTAAGGGCTAGGTCAGCAGGTGGCCCTCCCAAGAACAGCTCCAAGGCCTATCTCCCCATATAAGAAAGCAGTGCTTGCAGAGCATGGATCCTGTTTATGACAATGGTCATCCCTGAGGCCCTGGGTGGTTTGCTGAAGAAACTGAACAACAACCTTTGCCAGCGGCCTTGGTTCCGCAGGCTCAGCAGGCCCCTGCTGTGGCCAATCAGAATCGGCCTGGGGAGAAAAGGGGTGGGTTGTTCTGTCCAATGTGCTGATTGGCTGGCATCAGTGGGCGGGGCCTCCAGTTCCATCCAGGGCCTCCCATAGGTGAACTGAAGTCAAAGGTGGGCCCCTAGCAAGTGTTTGTTCTGGGACAAAAAGGAATGTCTTCCGGGCTTTTTCTGCTCAGGAGGCCCGGGCTCAGATTATAAGTGTGAAACCCATTTGAAGGACAGCCATTTGGCCGGTCCAGAGAGGAAAGAACAGGTCTACCTGAAGTCCATATGAGCCTCTAGCAAATTCTGGGGCTTGTCTTACGGGAAGGGGGTCCTAGAGTTTTATCACCAGCAGCACAGGTAGGAGCTGAAACTGGTATCCCCGCCCCAGAACAGACCTTCCGAGGGAGGAACCAGGATGGAGGGCCTGTGAATGGTCCCTTCAGGGTCCTTGTAACTGGCTAACAGGACCTTGGCTGGTGTCTAGAATGAAGGTGTTGGACTGCTGAGCAAGCCCAGAGGGTCCCCATTATGCCCCCCTTTACGGTCCTCTCCCAGTTCCTTTTTGCTGGTCATAAAACCATGCTTATCAACCCCACCTAAAACAGAAGACAAGGACCTAGCCTTTGGGAGACACAAGGTGTATCTGACTCCTGCTCAGCCCCTGAGGCAGAAGGGGAGTCTCTGAAATAAGACGCCAAAGAGGTTGCAGACGTCTTTCTGGACAGAGAGCACCGGTCTTCCTGCAGCGAGGCAGGACGAGTCGAGGGCAGGTTCACCATGGGCCTGCTGAAGGGCCTCCTGGGAGCCCGCAACCTGCTACTGGTCATCCTGGTCCCATTGCTGCTGCTGCCGCTGCTCATCCTCCACCCCAGCAGTGTGAGTATGACCCCCACCCCAACCTGGGTCTCCGAGGGGAGGGGGCTTCTGCAACACTTGAAAAGAGTCCTTGTTTGTGTGACGTTAGGAATGTCTTTCTGAAAGATGATGCTAAGATGCTTCTTCCTAAAAACGGCCATTCTCACCTCATCCCTCCCACCCACTCCCAGACCCCAACACCTGGGGTCAGGGGTCTGCCAGCTTAGAGCGGGGTCTTAATCTGTGGGCCAGCCTGCCCACACTCTGCTGAGCATGTGTAGCCAACATGTGACTCTCTATCTGGAAACAAAAGATGAACCTGGAGACCCAGGAAGATGCCACAGTACTGGCTCAAAGGAGACAGATGGGGAGGTGTGGGTCTGGTTCCAGCGAGGGCCCTTGGGCACCTGTCCTGAGTCTGGGGTCTGGCTGTAATGGGTGCTGATAAGTTCATTCCATGACTTCTCAGTTGGAAGTGGACCATGACTTGTTGCCCTAATCCCACGCATAAGGAAGGCTCTTTGATTATCTGTGTTCCTCTGCAGTTTCTAAAGGTGCCCTGGTGACACCCTGGGTTCAGCTTGGGGCTGCTCACCACATGCGCGAAAGCTGAGGCTGCGGTCTTAAAGATTTAGTCTCCGAAACACTAGGGCACAGTTCTGCTCTGTCCAACCGGGTCGCTAGGAGCTGGAATTGGTTCAGCGGCAGTGAGGTTGGTCAGCAACTCTGCCTCAGAAGAGACAGAAAATGGGAAGAGCTCCATCCGCCGATAGAATCCTTATCAGGGTTCCTGTGAGCACATAAGTGCAGCTCTGGCTCTGAGTTTGGCTGACTTCCCTTCCCTTCCCTTCCTCTTTCTGTCCCCTGCCCCACGACCCCTCCCTGGAGTCGTAGGAAAAGTTAACTAACTTGTGTATTTGTGGGAGGAAAAAGCCCCATAGCCCCTGGAGTAACTTGGTAACCAAGATTAAATTTAAAAAAACTAAAGAGAGAGGATTAGGAGGATTCCTTTTAAAAACAAACTGACTTAAATCTTTAGTAGAATAAACACCCCAGCGTGCCAAGAGGATTCTGATTAAAACTGGGCTGGGATTAGCAGGCAGCAATGTGAACTGGGCTCCTGGCTTCTCCCTGCATTCATTCTTTAGGGCCTGTGACTCTGGGGTTAAGTGTTTCCCACCTTCATTGAGCATCTTTGTTTTCTATGACTAATGAGAAGAATCTATTGAAAGGAGGGAAATTGAAGTACGCAAAGTTATCTTATACTTTTGAGGGAAGAGGGGCATTGTAGGAGGAAAAAATAAAAAGAGAGAAAGGAAAACTGAGCGGCCCTCTCTGTGTAGGTTTGTAAGTAATGCTGAGGGGTTTCAGCCTGTACTCCCTTAGGCCAAAAGACAATTCTGCTCCTTGATCTTTCCACCCTCAGGGTTCTCCACAGAACATTCTTGACATTTGGGGTGGGGCCAGAGAATTGTGGGCAATGGTGACCACCGAACATGGCTCCAGACACTGACATGTGCTCTCTGGGGCAGAAGCTCCCCCGGGTGAGAGCGGCTGCCTCAGGGGCAGCACAATCCTCCTCAGAGCTTCCAGACCGAGTCTCCTTCCAGCAGGTGACTGGAATGTAGAACATTCCATCCTCCCTGCATCACACCTCTTTCCCAGAAAAAAAGATGACGGCCAGTAGGCTCAGTGGGGCCCAAGAACTTCCAGCTCCTTTCTGTCCGGTGCATCCTTTTTCAAAAGGAGCAGTTTGGCAGCCACTGTGGATTCTGCTGTCTGACTAACATTTCCAAAGGTTTTAAGTTCCCTCTGATCTTGTGGCCCCAGGAAGTGTCAGTGGGCGCTACAGTGAACAATCTTTGGGTCCCATTCCCATTTCTCAACCCCAACCCCGGAATCTGTGGGTAGCTGGAGGAAACGCAGTTCGGTCCAGACACACAGGGTTAATCACTCCCGCAGGTCCTCGCTGGGGCCGGGACTGTTTGTCACTTTGGTGGGAGACTGAAGCTGTGTAAACAAAACAAGATTCCCCAATGTCACCTCTGGCCAGGTCAGACCTAAGCCCTGAGATTTTAGAATGAAGAAAAATTTTGGCACGAAGGGTTTGTACTTGTCTACTAAAACACAAATCCTGGTGTGGCACTGTAGTGTACCACGAAATCAGTAGTTCAAACCCACTCGACGATTCTTGGAAATCCTATGCAGGGTCACTATGAGTCCGAACTAACTCGACGGCACTTAACAACAGGAGCCCTGATCGTACAATAACTAAGCTCTCAGCTGTTAACCAAAAAGTTAGTCATTTGAACCCATGTACCGCTCAGTGAGAGAAAATACTTAGCAGTGTGCTCCTCTAAAGATCACAGCCTTGGAAACCCTAAGGGGCAATTCAATACTGTCCTATAGGGTCGCTATGAGTCAGAAGAGACTCCACAGCATCCAACAGTGACAACCCTATCTTAAAAGTTGGTGGTTTGAACCCATCCAACACCACTGCAGAATAAAGACCTGGTGATCTGCTTTTATGACGATCACAGCCAAGAAAACCCCATGGAGAAGTTCTTCTGTGTAACGCATGGGGACAGGATAGACTAAGTGTGAAAACTGAGGAGCCCACAGCCACCTTGGGTTTTCTCCCAGCTCGGTGAAATCACCATCATGGAGGGCTTCTCGGTGATCTCTCTCAACATGATGAATCAGCCCTACTCAAGACAGTCAGCAGTGCCGGGCTCCGGTTACTCCCAAAATAAAACCAAACCCATTGCTCGTCGCAACTCTATGCAAAGTTTCCGAAACTATATAAGTCCTTACGGCAACAGACAGCCTCATCTTTCTCCTATGGAGTGGCTGCTGGGTTTGAACCACCGACACTTGCAGTTAGCAGCCCAATGCTTAGCCCATAGCTCCACCAGGGGTAAGGTTAAGGAGGGCTGAGTTTTCTATAAAAATGGTGTCTGTGCTTACTCTGTGTGAATCTGTAAATTGTACAACCAGCAAGGTGGGAGGCCTGGGGGGATGATAAATCTCCAGAGCTTCCTTTCAAGGTAGACAGACCCAGTGGTCCCTCCGGAGCAACCAGGTCCATGCGGCTGCCCAGTGGGCTCTAACATAACAACTGTGAGGGTGGCCAGGCTGACAAGACACATTCTGTTAACTGTGAAGCAAGTCAATGGCACTTAGCAACAAGTTCTCTGTGCATCGATGGAGGTGGGATGGATCCCGCCCTACCCCATGTCTGGAGACCTTGTTATTTGCCACTGAAAGGGAGGGGTTGCTACTGGAACCTTGTGTATAGAAGTTAGGGATGCTGATAAATATCCTACAATGCACAGGACTGTCTCCACGACAGAGAATTGGTGGTGTTGGTGTGCCATGGAGTCAGTTCCGACTCATAGTGACCCTGTGTAAGCTGTAAATCTTTATGGGAGCAGAAAGTCTCATCTTTCTCCCGTGGAACAGCTGGTAGTTTTGAACTTCTGACTTTGAGATTAGCAGCCCGACTCTTAGCCACTACACTACCAGAGCTCCTTTCAACAAGGAATTATCTGGCCCAAAATATCAATAGTACCAACATCATTCCTCTTCCTCAACTAAAGAGATCATCCCATTATCTGGATTGCTGCCTACCTCCCCTGCCTTCTCCCCTCTCCTGTCTTCTCCTCCCTTCTTCCTTCCCTTTAGTTTCCCTCAACTCATCACTGACTCTGCAAGGAGATCCCCTAGATGCCTAGATACAAAACGATGGGACCCTAGATTGCAGAATGAAGGGGAAGAGTTGGCCGACCAGTCCGTGTGTTTGCCCACTGCCTAACAAGATGTTTCATTGTATTTTACTGCGGTTTGGAACTGTTCTGGGGACTTGTCTAAAGCAGAGATTTACACGTCGTATCTGAACATCTTGAGGCAGTGGAGCCTTGCTTTTCAAACAGAATCTTATTTGTAATTCAGCATATAAATCAAAGGAAAGCAGACGTTCCTTGGTTAGAAGGAAGATGGAGAAGGGGACTGGATTGGAGTCTCTGCTGGACTCTTCATGTCCCTTGGGATGTTTCTGAGACAAACCCACCCCCAACCACACACACATACACAGAACTCCAGGCTACAAGAGCATCTTTTGGGTTATTGCTAATCCAAGAATCTCACTTCCTGTGACCTGTGGCTCTCAGATCAGGCACATGCCCAAATGCCACCACAACCTCATGTCTTACACTCTCTGCAGAAGTAAAGGTGACTTAGCTCAGAATCTATACATGAACCCATCACATACATCGATCCCCAAAGTCTTCAAACACCTTCCAGAAACCAAACCTGGATTCTGACTCACAGCGACCCCTTGTGTTACAGAGTAGAACTGCTCTCTGTAGTCTGCCATCTTGATGGTACCACTGGATGGTTTCAAACCACCAACCTTTAGTTTAAAAAAACGAAAAACCCAAAGCAGCCATGTCAATTTTGACTGATAACAGAGCAGAACGACCCTATAGAGTTTCCAAAGCTGTGAATCTTTACAGAAGCTCTGCCCTTCCCGTCTCCTGAGGAGCCGCTGGTGAATTCGAACCTCCAACCTTATCGAGCACTCATCCACCATGCCATCAGGGTTTCTAGTTGAGTGCAAACCGTTTGTGATACTCGGGGTCCTTTGAAACATCTTCAACTCTGCTGAAAGCTTTGTTCGCAGATCACCAGGGAGACAAAATGTTCTGCCCGGCTTTCAATGCTGCCTTCACAGTATAGGGTCCGGATGCTTGATTAACGTTCAGTCTCCCGGCTCCTGGATTTCGGTCCATCTGTAGAATTGTCCCAGTCTACACCTTGGCAAGCTGAGCAGTTGACCCGCTCGCCACACTCTCTGCCCTGGGCTGACGGTGGGTTGTGCTGGCCCACAGATGTCCTGCCCCTAACCACCTCTTTCCATGTTGCAGGAGGCCTCGTGTGCCTATGTGCTGATCGTCACAGCTGTGTATTGGGTGTCTGAGGCTGTACCACTCGGAGCTGCAGCCCTGGTGCCTGCCTTCCTCTACCCGTTCTTCGGAGTTCTCCGGTCCAGCGAGGTTAGAGTCCCTGGAGGGTTGGGCCAGAGGAGGAGGGCACAGGGGGAAGGGGGACTCAAAGAGCACTTGAGGGGTCTGCGTTAACCCTCTGAACAACCCCTCACACTAAGTCTCTGCACCTGCTGCTCCTGACCCAAGCGCATCTCCTCATAGCCACACCCCATTCATCACCCCCTCAAACTGGCCTCTTTCAGTTAGCCTTCCTTCCTTCATCTCACCCAGTAGCCCCTTTACTGGCACTTATGAATAAGCTGCTGCTCTTTCTTGGACGTATGTGTGTCTGTTTGAACTGGAAGTACTCGAAGAAAAGGCAAGATTGGGCCTCCCTTTCTATTGAATCTCCTTATAAGCTGAACACATATAGTGCCGGTGCTCAGTAAATGTGGGTGGACAGACAGACTTAGCATGTTTCCCTGAGTTCTGACGATATTCACATTGACCTCACTAGAAGACATCTCCATTCCTTCTACCTCAACTCCAGGTAACTACTCTTTCCTCCTTGGCTGGATTCTGACTACTTCTGCTTTCTCTGGTTCACACTTTTTCTGTGGCATTGTCAGAAACAAAATGGTTGACACGTACCCCAGGATGTGGCCAGGTTTTAGGGCAAACATTAAAGGCTCTCAAAAATAGGGAAGAAAGAGAACATCAGAAACCAGGGGCAAGATGAATCATGGTCCTCACTCACAAGGAAGCCAAGTGAATTGTTGTAAAACCAAGTCCAAGTCATGGCAACCCCATGTGTGTTGGAGTAGAACTGTGCTCCATACGGCTTTCAGTTGTTGTTAAGTGCCATTGAGTCGGTTCTGTACAGGGTTTCCAAGGAGCAGCTAGTGGGTTTGAACTGCCGACCTTGCAGTTCAGACTGACCTTGCGGTCCAGTGCTTATCCTACAGGTCCATACCAGGATTCCTTTCAGTACCTGCTTTCATTTCGACTGTCATTACAGCAGCTGAAGTTTCTGATGGAGGAGATTGAATGGTAAAGGCGGGAATGTGGTTAGGGATAGAAGTGCATAGGAAGAAGAAAAGAAACTAAATGTTAATGCCTTCTAAGAACCAGGCAGTGTTCTAGAAATGCTACATTCCTTATGTACTCACCAGATTTCTACAAGCTGATTATTAATATTCCCATTCTACAGATGAGCAGACCGGTTCAGTGAGTTAAAAAAACATTGTTAAGTGCCATCTAGTCAGTTCTGACACATAGCGACCCTATATAGTGTTTCTGAGGATCAGCTGGTGAGCTTGAACCTGCCTCCTCTCAGAGTCTGAGAAGATTATGAAATCATAGAGTTTGTGGGACATGTCTGTCCTAGCTGAGAGGAAGTAGAAACCCATGGCAAAATACAGAAGCTCTGATTCAGTACTGTTTCGTGGTCTGACACTGTGGAGGGTTTACATCAATCCCTGTAAGGGAATGTTCCAGACAGATGACGTTTACCCTGTCACGTGCCCACATTTTATGTTGCCTAATTTTGATGGGTATGGAGCTGTGCGTTAGTGGACTGGACTGCAAAGTTGGTTTGAACTGAAAGGTCGGCGATTCAAGCCCACCAGCCACTCCTTGGTAACCCTATATGGGTCAGAACTAACTCAACAGCACTTAACAACAACAATTTTGATTGAGGAGTCTTGGTGTGTCGCTCTCAGATACACATTGGACTTTTAACCACAAAGTCAACAGTCCAAACCCACCAGACATTCCTCAGAAACCTTATTGTTGTTGTTGTTATGTGCCGTGGAGTCGGTTCCAACTCATAGCGACCCTGTATAGGGTTTCTGAGTCTATAAATCTTTGCGGGAGAAGAAAGCCTCATCTTTCTCCCACGGAACAGTTGATAGTTTTGAACTGCTGACCCTGAGGTTAGCAGCCCAATTTGTAGCCACTGCACTACCAGAGCTCCTTCAGAAACCTTATACTGGGTCATTAAGAGTCGAAGCAGACTTGACAGCACTTAACAACAACAATTTTGGTAGAAGTCTTCCTAAACAGTTTTTAAACAAAAATGATTTATATACCTATTATATCCCTGGCCTTTTAAACAGAAGGTGGTTGTTAAGCGTCCTTGGGTCAGTTCCAACCCATAACAACCCTGCATAGGATTTCTGAGGATTGGCTGGTGAACTTGCAGTTCAAATGGCTTTGCAGTCAAATCAGTACCTTTTCCTCACTGTTATTAGGTGTCATTGAGTCAGTTCTGACTGATCGTGACCCTAAGCACAACAGAACAAAACACAATCCTGAGCCATCAGGAGGGACCAGTCCCTGGAGAAGAACATCATGCCTGGAAAAGTGGGGGGGGGTCAGCAAAAAAAGAGGGAGACCCCCAACAAGATGCACTGACACAGTGGCAGCAGCAGTGGGCTCAAGTTGCAATTGTGAGGATCGTGCAAGACTGAGCAGTGTTTCGTTGTATTGTGCATCCAGTCTATGTGGTCAGAACCGACTCAACAGCACTTAACAACAATTTGTTGTACTTCACTGCAAATGAATAGCCTGTCTACCTACTGTTTAATTGGATTCAACAGACCGTTTTGTGTTTTGCTTTTTGGTTGGGGTTTGGTTGGGGTTTGGTTTCGTTTTCTGCTGGTTTTGTTTGTTTGAGTGGCGCTGAGTAACCATCACCTTATGCTCTCCAGAAAGAAGAGGGTCCCACCCAAGGGCCCTGAGCTGGGTTTGTATTCCTTGCACGACACTGATATCGTGGAGACCCACGTAAGAGTCGTTACCTCCCTCTTCCTTTATAGAAAGAGAATTGGTAGTGTGTGTTTGTGTGCATGCTTAAAAGAGAAATCAACCTGAAACATGAATTTTCTTAAGGGAGATATTGGTCTGCAAATACTCTTAATATTTCGCAATCAAAAACCAGGGGGCAGGGGATGAAAACAGAGGGCAGAGAAGGGAAAATGAGATATTAGAAGAATCAAATCCTAAGTAACATGTTTAAATGATACAATGATGAAATCAGAGAGCTACGTCTTTGTATTTCACTACAGGCAGCTGACAGTCAACAGCATATCTTAGCCTTGTTGTTTTTGTTGTTAAGCACTAAGCGAGTCAGTTTTGACTCATAGTGACCCTATAGACGAGCATCTGGTGAACCTGAACCACCGACCTTGAGGTTGAAACAAACCTTACCATCCAAATTGACCTTGCAGTCCAGTGCATTAACGTGCAGTGCCACACCAGGACCTCAGACCAAGGACTGCCTGTGTGGGCATCTCTCCAGACATCTAGGCCCTTCCGCACAGGTCAAACCCACCAGCCGTTCCTCAGAATGGGTTTTTGTTTTCTTTACACTAAGCTGCAATTCATACGGAAGGCTTTGGTCTTCATCAGTAAGTATTTTAAGTTCTCTTCATTTTCAGCAAGCAAGGTTGCTGAAATCTGCATATCACAGGTGGTTAATGAGTCTTCTGCCAATCCTGATGCCATGTTCTTCTTCATAAAATTCAGCTTCTCAGATTGTTTGTTTCACATATAAATAAGTATAGTGAAAAGATACAACTAGGTGTACACCTTTCCTGATTTTAAACCATTCAGTATCCCCTTGTCTGTTCTATCTACAGGTTCCTCATGAGCACAATTAAGTGTTCTGGAATGCTTATTCTTCACAATGTTATCATGATCCACACATTCAAAAGCCTTTGCATAGTCAGTAAAACACAAGTAAATATCTCTCTGGCATTCTCCGCTTTCAGCCAAGATCCATCACTAGTTCCACATCATCTAAATTCAGCTTGAATTTTTGGCAGTTCCCTGTTGGTGTACTGTTGCAACCAATTTTTAATTATTTTCAGAAAAATTTTACTTGCATGTAATATTAATACTGTTCGATGATTTCCGCATTCTATTGAGTCACCTTTCTTCAGAATCGGCACAAATATGCATGACTTCCAATTGGTAGCTGTCTTCCAAATTTTTCAGCACAGAGGAGTGAATGCCTCCAGTGCCACATCAGTTTGCTGAAATATTTCTGTTTGTATCCCATCAGCTCTTGGAGCCTTGTTTTACCCCAATGCCTTAAATGCAGCTTGGACTTCTTCCTTCAGTCCCATTAGCTCTTGAGCTTATGCTACCTCCGGAAATGGTTGAACATCAGCCAAGTCTTTATGATACAGTGACTCTGTGTATTCCTCCGTCTTCTTTTGATGCTTTTTACATTGTTCAGTACTTTGCCCAGGCTTGAATTTTTTCATCAGTTCTTTCAGCTTGAGAAATGTTGAGTATATTCTTCTCTTTTGGTTTTCTAACTCCAGGACTTTGCACATTTCATCATAATACTTATCTTTGTCTTCTTGAACTGCCCTTTGAAATTTTCTGTTCATTTATTTTACTTCCTTATTTCTTCCAATCACTTTAGTTTCTCTACAATCAAGAGCAAGTTTCATAGTCTTCTGACATCCATTTTAGTTTTTTTTCTTTCTTTCTTGTCTTTTTAATTACCTTTTGCTTACTTCCTGTATAGTGTTCTTGATGTTGCTCCACAACTCTTTCGGTTTTCTTTCAGTCATTAGTGTCAAATGTATCAAATCTGTTCTTGAGATGGTCTCAAAATTCAGGGTCATATTTTGGCTCTCATAGAGCTGTTTTAATTGTCTTCATCTTCAGCCTGATCCTGCATATGAACAATTAATGGTCTGTTCCACAGTCTGCCCCAGCCTTGTTTTGGCTGATGATATGGAGTGTCTTCACTGTCCTTCCCATGTTGTTGTTGTTAAGTGCCATCGAGTCGGTACTGACTCATACAGACCCTATGCACAGCAAAACGAAACACTGCCTGATCCTGGGCCAGCCTTACTACTGTTGCCACGCTTGAGTCCATTGATGCTGCCACTTGGCCATTCCATCTTGTTGGGCATCTTCCTCTTTTTCTCTGACCCTCCATCTTACCAAACATGATCTCCTTCTTCAGCAGCTGGTCCCTCCTGACAATATGTCCAAAGTATGAGAGGCAAAGTTTGGCCATCTTGGCCTCCAAGGAGCACTCTGGCTAC